GTCCCAATAAAGTTAATAAATCTTTAAAAGGACTAGTTATACACTCATATGTAGTAATGCTCCTTACCTAAATGATTGCAATTTATGCCTCGTAGGAGTTGCACCTTTTTATTCTGTTGCAAGGCCCCTAGTTGCCTAAACTGTTAATATAATGAATGTTACCACTGCCTACCTTCTCAGAAATATTGAATAAATGCTACTGTCATTAGCTATGAAAGGCACCTGAATTCCATAAGCAGGTCTGTCTGCAACTGACCATTACGGACCCCTTAACTCTCTCCTCGGTTTGGGAGAAGTCGAAATCGACAATATGGTTTGCAGGATATTTTGATGCTTCATGTATCACACATCAGATATTCTATTTAATTCACTTTTTAACAGAAATCACCAACTTTGGGGAAGAAGTCACACCATGCTGACTTACAGGAATGAAATATACAGAAGTGTGAAAGGAAAAGAAAGAACAGTGAGGAAGATCAACGAGGGGAGGAAAGAGAAAAGAATGACAAAAGCAAGGAGCTGGTCTCTCCCATTACTACTCTGTGCTCTTCCTCTAATTTTATCAGAGCTCTGCAACCATGTTCAGAGAACTAATAGGTTAAAGGGTTTTATTTTTGTTTGTTTGTTGTTTTTGCAAATAGGTTACATTTTAACAGCTGTGCTAAGCACAACACCCCAGTGTTTATCAGAAGAGATGACAATCCAGAGGGCCAGAGGAGCACTCTGAAACCCTTAGAGCCATGAAGCCATGTGAGCTCTCTACCCAGGCCATGATTCTGGCATTCTAGGAGAGAGGAGAAGAGGGGGACCCTGTAGATTTCAGTGGCTCTATCTAGAAGTGACTAGTTAAAATTTTCTTCCACCGGACATAGACAGGAGAAAGGAAAAGAAAGTTATTTGACAAGAAAATAAATCCAGTTATTGAAGAGAAACACACATTACAACTTGAGCTGTGGCTTGTGGAGACCACATACATTCTATGCTGAGAAACCTTCATCGTTTCCAGTTTGCCATGGCCATTGTCAGGCTGCTATAGATAGTCCTATTCTGAGATTCTCATATATTAATACTTCTACTTATATATTACAGGTATTGACTGCAGTCTCATGAGTGGAACCATTGGCTGAAGAGCTTGGTATATATCAAATGAGAAGAAATATTACCAAATGGCCTTCTAGAAGGGAAGGCAAAGTTCATAATTCTACCAACCATGTGCACAAATCCCTAGCATCTTTCCCAGAAACAGGTGATCACAATTTTTAAAGATCTTCATTGAGATAGAATAACATACCATAAAATGTAGCCCTTTAAAGTATACTCTCAGTGATTTTAGAATGCCAGAGCTACGTGACAATCACCATTGAGTTCACAGCACATCCACCACTCTGAAAGCGAAACCGTGCACCATCAGCACCACGTACCCTTCCCTGTTCCTTCCAGACCTGGCAGCCCTAGTCTACCTGCGGTCCGTGGCTCTTCTCCCTGGGGCATTCCATGTAACTGGAACATACAATCCAGGGATTTCCGCAGTCAGGCCCTTTCACTTAACAGATGCTTCACTGGCAGTAAGTCACAGATTCATCCACGCTGAGGCATTCAACTGTACTTCACGTCCTTTCTTTGCTGAATAATACTCCATCATGTAGATAGGCTCGTCTTATTCATCCACTCACAAGCTGATGAATGCTGGGCTGTTTCCACTTTCCAGTTACTAAAAATAACACTGCAGTGAACACCTGTTTTTCACTGGGTGTGTGTTTTCATGTCTCTTGGGTATATATCTGTGCTGGAATTGCTGGGTCATATGGTAACTCCATGTTTAATCTTTTTAGGAACTGCCAAACTGAGTTTCAAAGTAGGACTTTAATTATGCCAGTCTGATTGACGGGCAATAAAAATTTCTCTGAAATCATCATGGAAACCTTATTTCTATTTTTAATACACATATGCATATTAAAGGTCATTATCATATAAAATATAATTCTTACTGTGAATTAAAACTCAAAAAGTTTCAAATCTACTCCTCCAATAATGTATTACACTGATCCACTTACCTATTCTTTTATCCATAGCACATTTACCTGAGTATTTTTGCTTTTGGATAATATTTTGATGTTTAGTAACGCAAATACCTCTCTTTTATATAATTTATTTAGTAATTTTTGACATTCTTCCTCAAAAAAATCACATGGTTATTTTTTCTTAATACTAAAGAAATTCTTTTCATTATAATTAAAATGGCTAATTTGGGAGAATTTATATTTTTATGATCTTGCTTCTTCCTCTTCACAATGAAGTAGTTGGTTTGTCCTTACATTCTTGAAACATGGTCCATTTTCATGGCTTATAGTATAGATCCTTGTTAAATATGTTGTAATTATTTTACAATTCTTTTCATTGCTGTGACAGAAACTTTCTCTTACTGCCATTTCAGTGTTTATTGCAAATATAATGACACTATCAACTTTATTTAGCTTCTATCTGCATATCCCAGCAGATTTTCTTACAAACATTATTGTTTATAACTCAAGTCTCTTGGGTTTCTGAGAGGAACCATCATATTTGCTAGGATCACTAGAAAAATAGTAAATAATCTCGCAGTACAAAATGACAACAGTGAGAACCTTAGCTCCTGCCTCTAAGTATAAGCAGCCTGTACTAGAAATGAATTACTCCAATGACCAATGCTCACTCCTCCTATTTCTCAAGCTGTTCCTCCTATTAAAGCCTCTGTCCCTGTTTCTCAGAAGCCTGCATTTCTTGTGCAGCTTCTAAATTGTGCTACAGTGCAGCCCTTGGCTTTAGAGCTCTGAGAAGCAGGGTGTAGAGAGAAGGAGAGTGGTCCTGGTTTCCAAGGCTCTAATACAAATACTTATACATCCACTTAGAGAAACGTATGTATGGCACAAGGCAAGATGCTAAAAGGAACATCAAAAAAATTAAGAATGTTCAGAAAGATAATCAAATAGGATATAAAAATATGTAAATAAATAACTTTAGTTAAATATTCAGGTAGAAATGATGCGTGCTCTAAATAGACATAGTAAGGATAAGTATGATGCCAAAGTACTCCTTACAAGATTGTTTGCAGGTGGAAGCTAGTTATTTACTACTATACTATCATAGTACAGATACAGATTTAAAAAGCTTTTGTGGAATTAGCTGAACCTCATTAACACATTATTGTTATCCTCTCAGGGAAAATTTTTTTTTTTTTTTTTTGGTCTTTTCCTTTTTATCGGTACCGGGGATGGAACTCACGACTGCCTGCTTGCAAGGCAGGCGCTTATGCCGCTGAGCTCAATCCCCAGCCCCTCTCAGGGAAAAATTGCTTTCAAATAATCCCCTAAAGTGAACTCCTAGCAATAAACTATTAAAGACTACTTAAGCAGCCCACTAGTAACAAAGACTAAGCTATAGTACTGGCAAAGAAAAAAAACAAAAACAAGCAATAACAACAGGAATAAATGAAGACTCTGTCCTTGACAGTGACCTTTCCTGGCTACTCCTTGAGGACAGAGTTAATTTTGTTCAATGAAAATAAAATAAACTCAGGGCATAAAAAATTCCAAAAGATTTAAATTATATAAGGTACTAAAGAATTTTAATCATGTTTATAATCCAGTGTTAAAACTGTTTTATATAGCCAAAAATACACAATTTAAAATTTTCACCAGCATCAAAAACTGTCATCTTTCAATTCTGGGTGTATCACTGCAAACCACAGCTGTTACATCAGCCAGGTAGTTTATTAGTTCATTCATGCTATGAAAATACTCCTGACATTTCATCTGGTCAACCATCTTAAAGGTTAATTCTTGTTTCCTCTTTCAGATTTTATTCTAGGTGAGCTGTTCTGGGCAGATTCTGTTTACCTATTCTGAAATAAACCACAAACTGTTTCATTGCTCACTCTTACTGTTAAGAACATATTGACTTGCTGCCTGCTCTGCTGTTTAATTCATTTATGCTGAGAGTCAGGCATGAAGACAGAATTTTAAATGTGACATTTGCAGACTGTTAGGTCATTTAAGCTCTGACAACACGAGGGAATTCCTGACATATAAACTGGACCTGATTACCAAGCACAGATAAGCTTCCCGAAGGAGAAAATTTCTGACTGTTTTTTGATAGTCAGTCATGGAATTTTAATATCAATGAAAAGATCTCTATAGCCAACATTTTAAAATAAAAGCCTCTGTTTCTTTTAATAAGTTCAAACTGGCATGTCTTATCAACACCTATCTGCTAAAAAATTCTTTTGATTGAAAGGATACACATAAAGAGTCAAATAATTATAGTTCATAAAATTCTGACACGAAAGGGCATCAAATATTTCCTATAATCTGTAAGGACCTCAAAAATCTGCTGGGTCTAAAGGCTACAGCTCTAGTCAATAGATCATTTAAAATTATTAGACTCTGGCCCAGAAGGGTAGAGGTTAATGCTGTCAAAATTACAGTACAAAGTCTAAGCTTAAGTACCTACAACACTGCCTTTTCTAAGATTATAAAGGGATGGTATAGTCATTATAATTGGAAATGGGCAAATGCTCATGTTACATTTAGAATTACCCTTCCCAGGGGTTGATAATGGAGCAGAGGGGGAAGCAGCACAAGATCATCTCTCTTTTGTAGCCACCCCAAAGAATTATGCCACATGCTGTATTTGCAGCTTTCTCCTTGTCACCAACAAGTACCACATGCAATGGTTTAAAATGAAAGTTTTCTAAAATTAAGATTTGTTATTAATCCACAAAAGGCAATTCTGATTACTCTGTATTTGACATTAGTAAGAATTCTAGTGTTACAGAGCAAGTAGCATTTCAATGCTGTGCAACAAATGAAACTTAACCGTTATCAGTGCAGCCCAAACAGGGACCGACAGCCTAAAATGCCTTTCAGCTACTGCACATTGATTTTGAAAAATCTAACAAAAGCAATCATTTTTCAGAGATTAAAAATCTTGTCTCTTTCACAAGAATAAAATGGAAAGCAAACCTGATGTATTATCTGAGCTACAGGAAGTTGTTCAGCATATTTCAGTGGTTCCATTAGTTCCTCATCCATCTGGTCTTCCTTGTAACTGAAAGAAAGGAATTTTTAAAAAAGCTAAAGCAAATACTACTTTTAAATATGTAAAATATTTAAATAAATAAAACCTGAAATTTATTAATATATATTTAAAATGTATATTTTTGAACTAACTAGTATTAATCAATAATCTTGAAGAACACTAATGAAAACTTTAAATCATATGAACAAAATGTATTCAAACTATATTTAGTTACTATGTAATAACATTATCTAATATCACCTAATGTTCTTTATTCCTGTCTTTTATACTGAGAATTAAAAATGTTTCAGGAGCCCTCTGATAGGAGATGGTTTCTATCACAGCCCTTCAAAATCTGGCTCCAATCACACCAAAGCTTCACCTTTACCCCCTCGACACTTGTCCAGGTGTCGTTTGTAGAGTTGGTCACTCCCCTACTCCCACTCCACCCCTGCCCCGCTCCCACCTCCCTGTGCGGGGGCGGGGGTCTGCACCTATAGGACCCTCTCTCTTGTCCCACACTATTGCATCTGTTCAGATCAACAACTAATTCTCTCCTTTGCTCCACTTTTACCCATATCAACTGACCTATAACCATATAGGGATATTATTTTTACCCTTAAAGATAAAAATCAGGTTTCATCCTCTGTATAGTCAATGTTCATCATATGATACTCATTAAGTGTTTACTAACATATGGATAAAAAGAAAGAAAAAGCAACTCTCAAAAGTGATTTTATATGGAAAGTATTCCCTTTAAGAGCCACATTTAAAATGAGATGTAAATTTGGCATAATGCTTACCTCCTACAAAACAGTAAAGTATAAAAATAAATTTTTAAAAGTCATCCCAAATGAAAAGAATGATAAGCTTTTGAAATTATTGATCATTCTAGAAATGGTAAACATTAGATTTCAAGAAATAAGTATATTTAAACTTCCTTTTACTTTTTAATTTATAAATTACATACCAATTTAAAATTAGATTTAAAAGTAAACTTTAGAGCCCAGCCCCCGCTTGCATGTGAGCTACCCCGTAGGGACTCTCTCTAACCAGCATGGGCAGGGAGAAGCAGCCAGCCTAGCCCGTGCACAGGCAGGGCGCCATCAGGACCCTCGCTGTGGGCAGCCAGCACTGGCTGCAAGAAGCAGCCAACCACACCCTGGAGAAGCCACCCCACATCCCACTGCTCCTGTGGAACGTGGGTTAGGAGAAACCCAGGTGCTGACACATCCCTACACACTGTGGATGGGTAGCTAACTTGGGAAGTGCCTGGGACCTCACAACCTGCTCATCTTGAAGAACCCAGGAAAATGTCAAGACAAAGGAGCAAAAAAGAATCTCTGGCCTCCAGACCAAACAGAACAAGTCCTGGAGACTTAGACATGGGAGAAAACAGAAGTTGCACACCTAAAATTCCTGAGATGATGTCAACTGAACTAACAAAACTACTTCATGAGGCTGTAAAAGAAATCAGATCGGAAATAATATCTCAGGGAAAAGAAGAAATGACAAATACAATAAAAGGTTTGCTGTCATATCTAAAGAAGTCATCGATTAAAAAAGAGGAGCACAGGAGAATGAGGGAAACTTTGAGTGAACAATATAGAGCAGAACTGGAATTCACAAAACATACTCAAAGAGATATCTGGAAAATTAAAAACTCCATTGAAAGCTGGCAAAACTGCTCAAAAGAAATGAAAGACAGACTTTCAGACATTGAAGACACGATGGCAGCTGGCAATAATGAATGGAAAGATCTCTTAAAAAGAACAAGGAGGGGCTGGGGATTTAGCTCAGCGGCATAAGCACCTGCCTTGCAAGCAGCCAGTAGTGAGTTCGAACCCTGGTACCGATAAAAAGGAAAAAGACAAAAAAAAAAAAAAAAAAAAAAAAAAAAAACAGGAAATAACAATTCAATGGCTGCAACACAAAAATAATTTTAAAATGATGGGTGTCAGTGAAAAAGCAGGAGTCAACACATATAACATGAAGAGATTATTTACAGAATAACAGAGAACTTCTCAAGCATAGGAAAAGGACCTGACATACAAGTAAGTGAGTCATACAGAACTCCAACTAGCCGTAACTAATATAAACCTACACCTAGACACATGATCATCAAGACCCCAGTAATTCAGCACAACAACAGAATACTAAAGGCTGTGAGAGAAAAGAAACAGATTATTTAAAGGAAAGCCCATCAGAATCACAACAGATTTCTCAACCCAAACCATCAATTCAAAAAGAGTTTGCAGTGAAGTATTTCAAATCCTAAATAAAAAAAAAAAAACCTTGCAACTCACTTGATGTGCCCTGCAAAACTATCCAAAACTATCTTCCTAAATTAATGGAGAAACAAGATACTTCCATGACAACAACTGAATGAATTCATTACCACCAAACCAATACGAAAAAGAATATTGAAGGATACTCCAGAGAGAGACAAAAATGACCACAGTCCCAGGAACAGCAGCAGAGTGGGATCACTGAAAGGGGCAGACCACTGAATGGAAAGGAAAAGTAGGGAGCCAAAAAAGTAGACAGAAAAAGGCATAGCAAAGATGAACCAGTACACGTTGGCCATAACCATTTATGTAAATGACCTTGATTCATCAATAAAAAGAAACACAGGCAGAGTAGATTAAGAAACAAGATCCTTGGGGTTGGGGATTTAGCTCAGCAGCATAAGCACCTGCCTTGCAAGCGCATGGTCATGAGTTCGATCCCCGGTACCAATAAAAACAAAAAACAAAACAAAACAAGAAACAAGATCCATCAATATGCAGTATATAAGAAACACATTAACTTGAAAGGAAATTAATAGACTGAAAATCAAAACAGAGAAAACAATGCTCCATGCAATAGGGAACCAGAAAAAAGCAGGGGTAGCTTGCTCATCAACCACAGAATGGGTAAGAAAGATATGGCATTTTTATACAATGGAAAGCTACTCAGCGATAAAGGAAAATCATGAGGCTCTTGTAGATAAATGGTTGCATAATGGTTGTGATCACGCTCTTGGGTAACATGGTTTGGATTCACATGGGTGAACATCATGCTGTTTCCCTAACATAAAAACCTGAAGGAGTTAGTATGATCCTAAATGTACAACAGACAGCGTGAACGTGGAAGGGAAGAAACATCTAAAAAGGGAAGGTGGTAGCCACTGTTAATTCCCGATTATTTTGTTTTAAAGTCCTGTAATATTTTTGTTGCTTTGATTGGTTTTATTTCTTTTGATTTTATTATATCTGATGGCATGGGCAGCTGTTTTGAAGATGACAAGATAGTTTATAGCCATTGCTGATTTCCCATTATATTATTTTGAAGTCCTGTCTCACTTTCACTGTTTTGTTTTGATTTGATTTATTGTTTTATTTTGTTTGGTTTTACTTTTTTTAAAAAAATTTTAAAAAACATCTAAATTTCAAATTTTCTTAGAAAATAAATGGAACAAGATTGGCTTACGGTTTGAGGACTACAGTTAAAGAATCTGAAATCTAGAGTCTCTCCTAAGAAAAGGGCAGATATACAAGTAAACAAAATTTTGTACATCAATAGAGAGCTTCAAGAATCTCTTCTTTAAGTAAAGTACATCTTGCAGGATTAGCACAAAAATAATCTGGGAGAAACTTTAAAGAGTCTTAAAATGATGGGAAAAACTGTTTCAAAACATTGTTCATAGAAACAGAACGTGGAAAGGTGGATGCCAGGAGCCAGGAGAAAGAGCTTGCATGAGCAGTTTCAGATTACAAAATGAAAAAAGTTCTAGAGATGGCTATGGAGGGGGCAATGATTATGTGACAGTAGAAGTGGATTTAATGTCAGGGAACTGTCAAATGGCTAAACAGTAAATATTATTTATATATAACTGGCTGAATTGTGCTCCTCCCCCCACATTCCCAAAGTCACATTTAGAAGCCCTACCCTTCAGTACCTCAGGAAGAGACTACGGTATTCCTAGTGTGGCTCCTGAAAGAATGAACCAATGTTCCGGGAAGTCTTCAGGCTGCCTTTGTTGAACAAGTCTGGTGTCCTTGTAAGAAGAGATCAGGACACAAGATAGAACAAAGGCCTCCTGAAGACACCAAGGGAAGCTGTCATTTATTTAGAGGACAAAGAGACGCCTTGGGAGAAACCACTTCTGCAGACACCCCGGCCTCTGCTCTGTGGGGTACAACACCTGTTCCTCATGCACCTCGTCTGCACCTCATGCTGCACCTCATGCAGAGCTGCGCCTCATGCAGCTCTGTCACGGGAGCTACATCTCACCACACATTAATACCGTCACTGCCCAAAAAACAAAACTTCGCTTTAAAGCATTTCACAATGTTTTAAAAGTCTGTCCACATTTTCATATATAAAAAACTCAAAGACAGCAACAAAAGAAAAAATAAATGTTTAAACCTTTGTATTTCCAAGAACACAATCAAGAAAGTAAAGAAACAAGACCATACCTGGAGAGGGAGAAAAATTTTAATGTTCTGTGTATCAGAAAAGGGCCTTATCAAGAATATATATTAAAAGTATAAATCAGTAGTAAAAAGATTAAGTAACTCAATGAAAATCTTTTCCTTCCTCATCAAGGAAATTCTTCAGTACAACCCACTTATTCCTGTTTGCATCTTTTTTACTGCAGACGGTGGTGGGAAGCACACAGTGATGAATCAGTTGGATGACACCCTGGGACTTCTGTTAACTCACCAGCAGTTAGGTACAAAAACTGAAATTAAAACTGCTAAAAAATGGATGATGATCACATCACGGACATTAAGGACAAAGAAACCTGAAAAGGTCACTACTTGTTATTCCAAGAACCTAAAATTACTACATAGAAGATGGAATTTTGCATTCTACTTGCAAAATGTTTCTCAAACAACATAAAAATATTTCTTTAGTTATACAAAATATTTGAAATTTGGAAAATCACTTTAAGTAACCTTTAAATGTCAAGAAACTTAAGAAAAATTCTAAACACATTTCTGTTTTTATATATTACTTTTTGGTGAACCATTAAAAATAAGTAG